TTGAATTTTCAGCCCTGATCCAATCAGAGTAATAGTTTAGCTATCCCTGATTTTGAGTACAGTGTAACAGACTAGGCTGTTAGTGGACCCTGAGCTAACAGAGTATCGACTCTGTCGATCCTAACTTATGGAGAGGAAGTTTCTCGAAAGTTTCCTTCCGATGACCCCGCCTTGGATTGATCGCAGTGATCCCCAACATGTGCGTAATCCCCCCCCCCCCTTTCCGCTTTATCGAGACGAAGTTTCTTCGAAACATCGTCCTGATACACCTACCATCGAGATCGCGCGAATCTGCAATGTCAAATATACTTTCCTGGGATGGGATTGGTCGAAATAGGCTCTGACAGCGGAAGTCTTTGGCTCGAACAGGTGTGACTCGCCCGTTCGGTTGGTACACTCGCTCCAGGAACACGCCTTTGAGGGTGACTAACTACAGTCGTGTCTGATGCGTGTCGTCTGGAATGTTCAGCATTCAAGCACTACATGCCAGATGAAGAGATCCGATTGGGCATGGTAATAAGACAGGGAAACGTTACACTCACACACCAGATAGGTCAATCACACCCGCCCTACACAAATCAGTCGAGTGTACAGCCAGGGGGAAACACAGCGCGCAGATTTTATGGAGAGTGGGGATCTTTTCCCCGGTAACAAAGCGCGCGTTACTACTCTGATGTTCAGTTCTCGACCCTGAACAATCAGAGTTAGCTACTTTACAACCCTGAGCAATCAGGGTACTGCTTTTCTGGAAAATGTGCACCCATAATAGAGGGGGAAATTTTTTCCCGGAATCAGGGAGGCCTACCGTATTACCCCGGACATACCACCCGCCGAAATAGAGCACCCCCCGGGTGGCTTGTGCGGGGGGGGTGCTATAGCGGGCCTCATTTCTACTATACCCCCCTTTTGGGGCGATCCGATATAGCACCCGCGGGGGGGTGTTATGTACGGGTAATATTGCAGTTTTTGCCCAAATAGCACTGGGTTTCCAATGATTAACCATCTACATGTTAACATCAGCACAAACAAGCTACGTTTGACGCTATACAGCGATATCACTCCCATCACACAGTCTTTCCTTCATTCAGATGGGGCCTACTACCATCCAGACAGAATGCTATCTACCTATACAGAAGAAGCCCTTCCTCCTACTCCTCGTCCCCAGCATTCCATTCCTCAACCTCCTCTCTGTCAAAGCGGTCGGGGAGCCACCAGTCAGAGCCGGCCTCGCTCCACTCATCTGCATCCCCATCTTCTCCGGCCCCGTACCCTTCCCCATCTCTGTCTTCCGCATCCGCATCCTCTTCGTCCTGCTCCACATGCATGGCGTCGTCGTCTGCCTGCAGCACCTCCTCCGGCACGCGGGCCTCCTCGAAGTAGGGGTTGGGGATGACCTCGTCTTCAACCATCTCGTTCACATCTTTTTGCACTTCCACCTCACCCTTGTCCCGCAGGTGTGCGAGGACGAGGTGGTCTTCGCTGCTGTCGGGCTTGGTGGAAATCCCGCAGGTGACAAAGGACTTCCTGATCAGCTCCTCTAGGACCTCCTGCCAGGACTCGTCGATCCACTTCAGAACCGTCTCCGCGGGAGGCTTTTGCAGATTGCCTGAGGGATGGGCAAGGCACGCACCGAGTTGTTTGATGAAATACACAGGCACGCATGCATAACAACACGATCGGAAAGCAAGGGACCATCTCACCTGCACGCGTCCTCGTGTTGATCCCGATGTCTTCAAACCAAGTGCCATAGCGGTGACGCGTACCGGCCTTGAACGCGCGATTCACGGACACGTCTAGCGGCTGCAGAAGCGGGGTGCACCCCTCCGGGATGACCGCCCGCGTCAGACGGAACATTCACATGGTTTGACCGATGGCTTCGGTCAAATGGCCGCGGTAGGAGTCCAGGACGACCAACGCCTCCCTGCGGCATCCGTCTCTTTTGCGGATGGGCTTCAGAAACGGCACAAGTACCTGGGTTATCCAGTCCTGCACAAGGCCTTCGTCCATCCACCCCTTCTCTTGTGCACGGACGACCACACCTGCCGTTCACAACGCAAAGAGAGCGAGTGGTTAGAGGGAGTAATGGATACAACAACTAGAGTGAACATTGAAATAGCTGGATACTTACCAGCTGGGATGGGCACTTTGGGGATGGTTTTGCGTTTGAAAATGACATATGGAGGAAGCTTCAGCCCTCCCGCCGTCATTGCCAACATGACAGTGACGCGTTCCTTCTCGTAGCCGGCAGTGCGCACGTGGACCGTCCGCGCTCCCTTCGTTTCGATTGTACGCTCCGCCGGCATCTCCAAAAACAGAGGAGTCTGATCCGCGGTCACGATCAGGTCGAGCGGGTAGTCGTGGAGGGTGCGCATCCGCATCAGGAACTCCCAGAAGGATTCAACCTTAGCCTTGCAATCTGCACGCACAACAAAACAAAGAGAAAACATTAAGAGCTAGCAAAGCTCAGATAGAGATGCATCCATTCAAGGACAACTTACCCGCAGCTAACTTCTGGCCCATCTTCGTTTTCACCCGTCGAGCCAGGTGCCATCGAGCGCGGAAACGATTAGTCCAGCGCTGTGAAGCGCGCCAAATCACGCCAGGCATCCGATGCTTCATGAACTTGGCGCTCCACTGCTGCAACATGCTGACCGATACGGCGAGTCCCTTAGCGCGGTGCTTAAGAAACAGCCGATACACGGCTCGTTCCATGAACGGGTACTTCGCGCGGCGCCCAGCTCCCATGAGGCGACGGCGGCATCCAGAGGCGACCTCCAGACGCTCCTTCATCCGCTTCCACTCGCGGATCTGGCAGGGCTGCACCTTCGCCAGCTTGGCCAAAGCTTGATTTGACAGGTCCGGCTGCGATTCCTGCAGTTTCAGCCAGTGGAGCTTCTCCTTGGCGGTGTACGCATGACGAACACGTTTCGTCATGCGATGACGTGGGGAAGGAGCGTCGGCATCCGCGTTGCGCTTCGGAGGTCCCTGGGGGCGTGTTTGTTCCGGGAAGGAAGGAATCTTCACCTTCGGCAGCGCCGGCATAGGAGGGGTCGCGCTGCTGCTCGGTTCATCGTTGGTGGCGCGACTCACGGGGGGTGACGGCTGCAGCAGGACGGGCCGGGGCGAACGCCGTGTGCCCGCAGCAGCGGGTGACTGGGTGACGGAAGGCCGCTGCCGCCTAACCACTGTGCTACTGGAGTCTGGAGAGGTAGCCATCTAAGCCTAGTGAACGTTGGTGTCGCAGACCATGGAATCCCTGAATTTATGCTAGGAAAGGGTTCGAGGAGGCAGTTGGTGTTAGCACACTCTGCCGAGCATTGCTCGAGTTCGTGGAATGGAGCCACTGCACAGAAAGAAGGATGAACTCCTTCTCAGTACAAGGACGTGACCGCCTCAGCGAGGCAGCTGAGGCTGTTGCTGGTGCTCAGTTGAGACTTCATGAATCCTCGTCGAGCGACGAGGGGGTGTGTTTTCTGTCCAATCAGGGCCTGACTGTGGGCCTTGTTGGAGCTTGCAATGTGGCAGCTAACCCACGAGACTAACGTTATCGCCCAGTCTTCGGTTTTGCGCACCCAACCAACAATCTACCACCGCGTCAAACATGTACATTTTGTTCTCAACCTTTTGTGCTCTAAAAAAAATATACATTATGTAACGACCCGGGTGCAATGTACCGTAATACCCCGGATATAAGCGCACCTGCGCTTATAATAAAACAGTGTTTTTTGGGTGGGTGCGCTTATAATTGAGTCAGATTTATAAGCGCACGCGCTTATATAATAACAAATGCAAATTTATAACTCATTGGCACCAAACTGTACATCTCCTTGTGATTTCAATCGAGTCAAAGTGGTAGCGAGTCACAATTCAGATTCGCGCGTGAGCGATTTTCTGCCGGCGTACAGGGGAAAATTTACACGTCACTATCAGAAATGCCAGCTCATACTGACTGGACGCGCAGTATGTGAGGTCCTCGAAAGTCAATCGAAGCGAAAATAGTTGTATCCTCACTGCAAAATTTGAAATCGCTACCGTTTTAATCTGGTTTAAAATTTAGAATTATACGTGCGCTTATTATAAATCAAGGTTTTACAGGGGGTGCGCTTATAAATGAGGATCGGCCATAAGCACATTGCTCCAGATACAATCGCATGCGCTTATATCCGGGGCCATACGGTAGCTTTTTCCGAGGACAAGAACCCCCCCCCCACCCCTTTTTTTTGTGTAGTTATCATAGCACCCTAGGGTGGTATGCCCGGGGTAATACGGTAAAATGAAACGTCAGCCCTGATTCCCGATTGATCTTAGGGAAGGGTTACAGGCACGTCGGCCTGGGGGGTTATAGGCGCACTCACTCACCCGCTACACCATCAAGCCCTTTCTATCCCAGCAATCAGTGGCTGGGATTCTGGCAGTTGGGTGCAGGTTTGGCGATCGAGAGACCGAAGGCGACGCGAGGAGCCTCGGCATCGTGGATGTCAGCGGAACGTGCGAAGTCCGAAAATCGGGGATGTACGCATAGTAGACAAGCCCGATAAAGAATTTGGAAAAAATTCCTTACATTGGGCATCAGGCCCTGAAGAATTTTCACATTCATCAATTTGTAAACACTGATTCAATCAGAGTATACGAATATTCATCCCTGCTCGTCTTTTACATAGGCACAGAGCGTGACTTAACAGAGCATGGATCTAGTGGTCCCTGGCCTCGTTCTGTTAGCGCGTTAGTTGTGCTCGACCTTAACCAGGGATATTCTACGAATGCGCACTCAGGACCCCAAACGTCCCGCTGTACGTCAGGTTGAGGTAAAATTCGATACCATATCACTATTACTCATCAACCCGATAAGAATCTTGAACTTGAACTACTCGGGCTTTAACTAACCTGCCCCAGCAGTATGTGTCCAAGGCCTAGAGCTTCTCACACAGCCTGGCGTCCACCAACAGATGTGCTGTACAGTGCATGAAGCGGTGTCAGTCAGCCTTGCGGCGTGTGTGGAGTCAGCGAGCGCGGCAGAGAGCGATGGTGGCATCACGTGATGCGGAGCACAGCTGGCCGTCCGGCGTGAACACCACTGCTGTCACCTGCATGCACGCATGGATGAACGTTGCATGCACGCATGGATGAACGGTTGCATGCACGCATGGATGAACGGTTGCATGCACGCATGGATGGACGGTTGCATGCACGCATGGATGAACGGTTGCATGCACGCATGGATGAACGTTGCATGCACGCATGGATGAACGGTTGCATGCACGCATGGATGAACGGTTGCATGCACGCATGGATAAACGTTGCATGCACGCATGGATGAACGGTTGCATGCACGCATGGATGAACGGTTGCATGCACGCATGGATGAACGGTTGCATGGACGCATGGATGAACGGTTGCATGCACGCATGTATGCATGGGTGCATGGCTGCATGGGTCCATTGCATGGGTGCATGGATGCATGGGTTCATGTGTGCATGGATGCATGGGTACATGGACGCATGGACGCATGGACGCATGGGTGCATGGGTGCATGGGTCCATGGCATGGGTGCATGGATGCATGGGTGCATGGGTGCATGGGTGCATGGGTCCATTGCATGGGTGCATGGATGCATCGGTGCATGGGTCCATGGATGCATAGTCGAATGGACTAATGGATGGACGGATGCATGGGTGCATGGTTGCAAGGGTCCTTAACGGAGAGTGATAAAGCATACAGCAGCAGAGTGGTGGGTGAGGTGGGCGGCAGGGCGAGGTCTGTGGAGGAGGGCGCAGTCATAGAGGCGCACGCTGCCATCCCAGCCCCCGGTGGCCGCTACTCCACCCGCGGGGTGCAGCGCGATGGCAGCGGTGCCGGGCTGCTGTGACCGCACCCGCTTCACCGCCTCCATGCTGCCCTGCACGGGATACAGGGGCGCATAGGGGTGGAAAACGGGACACAGGGTGGGAGGGGGACACAGGGTGGGAGGGGGACACAACAGGGTGGGAGGGGGACACAACAGGGTGGGAGGGGGACACAACAGGGTGGGAGGGGGACACAGGGTGGGAGGGGGACACAACAGGGTGGGAGGGGGACACAACAGGGGCGCACAGGGGGGCATGGGAGTGCACAGGAAGGCACAGGACGCACAGGGGGCACAGAGGGGCGCATAAAGTGGGAAATGGAGAGGCATGGAGGAAAAGGGAAAAGGTGAGCACGGTGTGTGCGAGGATAATGCGATGCCACGTCGGGTAACTGAGCAGTGGCGGACACCCGCTGCAGTGACGTGTGCAGTGATGGGTGCTGTGCGGGGCGGTGTGAACGGGGCTTGCGAAGTTGCAAAGGGTGGAGCGAGGAAGCAAGGAGGGCGGGTCTTACCTGGGAGAGGGAGAGGGCGGGTCTTACCTGGGAGAGGGAGAGGGCGGGTGTTACCTGGGAGAGGGAGAGGGCGGGTGTTACCTGGGAGAGGGAGAGGGCGGGTGTTACCTGGGAGAGGGAGATGGCGGGTGTTACCTGGGAGAGGGAGAGGGCGGGTGTTACCTGGGAGAGGGAGAGGGCGGGTGTTACCTGGGAGAGGGAGAGGCGGAAGAAGACGGTGTCTGTGTCGGCCCCGCCTGACATGCCATGCTCCGCACTGCTCCACACCGCCATGCTCTGCACTGCTGCCCGCCACACAGGGGGGTGGCAGGCATGGGGGTGGCAGGCATGGGGGTGGCAGGCATGGGGGTGGCATGCATGGGGTGGCATGCATGGGGGTGGCATGCATGGGGGTGGCATGCATGGGGGTGGCATGCATGGGGGTGGCATGCATGGGGGTGGCATGCATGGGGGTGGCATGCATGGGGGTGGCATGCATGGGGGTGGCATGCATGGGGGTGGCATGCATGGGGGTGGCATGCATGGGGGTGGCATGCATGGGGGTGGCATGCATGGGGGTGGCATGCATGGGGGTGGCATGCATGGGGGTGGCATGCATGGGGGTGGCATGCATGGGGGTGGCATGCATGGGGGTGGCATGCATGGGGGTGGCATGCATGGGGGTGGCATGCATGGGGGTGGCATGCATGGGGGTGGCATGCATGGGGGTGGCATGCATGGGGGTGGCATGCATGGGGGTGGCATGCATGGGGGTGGCATGCATGGGGGTGGCATGCATGGGGGTGGCATGCATGGGGTTGGCATGCATGGGGGTGGCATGCATGGGGGTTGGCATGCATGGGGGTGGCATGCATGGGGGTGGCATGCATGGGGGTGGCATGCATGGGGGTGGCATGCATGGGGGTGGCATGCATGGGGGTGGCATGCATGGGGGTGGCATGCATGGGGGTGGCATGCATGGGGGTGGCATGCATGGGGGTGGCATGCATGGGGGTGGCATGCATGGGGGTGGCATGCATGGGGGTGGCATGCATGGGGGTGGCATGCATGGGGGTGGCATGCATGGGGGTGGCATGCATGGGGGTGGCATGCATGGGGGTGGCATGCATGGGGGTGGCATGCATGGGGGTGGCATGCATGGGGGTGGCATGCATGGGGGTGGCATGCATGGGGGGTGGCATGCATGGGGGTGGCATGCATGGGGGTGGCATGCATGGGGGTGGCATGCATGGGGGTGGCATGCATGGGGGTGGCATGCATGGGGGTGGCATGCATGGGGGTGGCATGCATGGGGGTGGCATGCATGGGGGTGGCATGCATGGGGGTGGCATGCATGGGGGTGGCATGCAGTGGGGTGGCATGCATGGGGGTGGCATGCATGGGGGTGGCATGCATGGGGGTGGCATGCATGGGGGTGGCATGCATGGGGGTGGCATGCATGGGGGTGGCATGCATGGGGGTGGCATGCATGGGGGTGGCATGCATGGGGGTGGCATGCATGGGGGTGGCATGCATGGGGGTGGCATGCATGGGGGTGGCATGCATGGGGGTGGCATGCATGGGGGTGGCATGCATGGGGGTGGCATGCATGGGGGTGGCATGCATGGGGGTGGCATGCATGGGGGTGGCATGCATGGGGGTGGCATGCATGGGGGTGGCATGCATGGGGGTGGCATGCATGGGGGTAACATGCATGGGTTGCTCAAACCGAGGTGCGAGTGAGAGGAGTAGCACCTACGTGGAAACAAGCAGTGGGACAGAAACAGGCGCTTTGAGTGCCGCCCACCTCGGTGAGAGTGCCGCCCACCTGGGTGGGAGTGCAGGCGCGCGGCAGTGAGAGGGCGATCGGGGCGGCGCACGTCCCACAGGGCCATGCGACCATCCTCGTAGCTGCCCGGCGCACAGGGGAGAAGAGCGGGGGCGGAGGAGGTTCAAGGGGATGAGGAAGGTTAGGGGGATGAGGAATGTGAGGAGGGTGAGGGGGGTGAGGGGGTGAGGGGGGTGAGGGGTGTGAGAAGGGTTTAGGCAGGGAATGGTGGGAGAGGTGATGGAGGTGAAGGGAGTACGGGACATGAGGGGGGTGAGTCGGGGTAGAGTGATGGTTGTGGCAGGTGCGGGAATGAAGCAGTGAGCAGCAGGGAGAGCAGAGCAGGCAGCAGGGGAAAGGTGGGTGAGCGCACCCGGCGAGCAGGAAGAGCGCGGGGGAGACGGAGGGGCTGAGCATGAGGTGCAGCGCCATGGGCAGGCCTGGTGGGTTGGGTGATGCGGGGAGTGTGGAGCAGAGACACACGAGACAGCTTGGGCGGTGAGAGCAGGAAATGAGAGCTTGCAAACACGAGTGCCTTCAGCAGCAATTGGAGCAGTGGGAGAGTGCGACACGAGGGGAGAGTGCGACACGAGGGGAGAGTGCGACACGAGGGGAGAGTGCGACACGAGGGGAGAGTGCGACACGAGGGGAGAGTGCGACACGAGGGGAGATACTCTCAGCTTCATGGTCCGGGAAGAGGAAGGAGATGCAGCATGCGAGGAGATGCAGCATGCGAGGAGATGCAGCATGCGAGGAGATGCAGCATGCGAGGAGATGCAGCATGCGAGGAGATGCAGCATGCGAGGAGATGCAGCATGCGAGGAGATGCAGCATGCGAGGAGATGCAGCATGCGAGGAGATGCAGCATGCGAGGAGATGCAGCATGCGAGGAGATGCAGCATGCGAGGAGATGCAGCATGCGAGGAGATGCAGCATGCGAGGAGATGCAGCATGCGAGGAGATGCAGCATGCGAGGAGATGCAGCATGCGAGGAGATGCAGCATGCGAGGAGATGCAGCATGCGAGGAGATGCAGCATGCGAGGAGATGCAGCATGCGAGGAGATGCAGCATGCGAGGAGATGCAGCATACGAGGAGATGCAGCATGCGAGGAGATGCAGCATGCGAGGAGATGCAGCATGCGAGGAGATGCAGCATGCGAGGAGATGCAGCATGCGAGGAGATGCAGCATACGAGGAGATGCAGCATGCGAGGAGATGCAGCATGCGAGGAGATGCAGCATACGAGGAGATGCAGCATGCGAGGAGATGCAGCATGCGAGGAGATGCAGCATGCGAGGAGATGCAGCATGCGAGGAGATGCAGCATGCGAGGAGATGCAGCATACGAGGAGATGCAGCATGCGAGGAGATGCAGCATGCGAGGAGATGCAGCATACGAGGAGATGCAGCATGCGAGGAGATGCAGCATGCGAGGAGATGCAGCATGCGAGGAGATGCAGCAAGGAGGGAGCGCACCGGCAGAAGCAGCGGAGTGGGGGTGGGGGGCGGCGTGGGGAAAGCCTTGAGGCGAGCCGATGGAGAGCGCGCGGGTGGAGGGGTGGCGCAGGTCCCACAGCGCCACCTGCATGGGGGCATGGCGGGGGGCATGGGAGGGGCATGACAGGGGGCATGGCGGGGGGAGGGGCATGGCAGGGGGCATGGGGGGGGCATGGCGGGGGGCATGTGAGGGGGGCGTGGGGGACAGGGGAGGGGGGCGTGGGGGGAGGATGTGGGGCCGGCAGATGGACGCAGGGGAGGCATGGGGACAGGAAGGGGGGGGCGTGGGGGAAGGGGGGGCGTGGGGGAAGGGGGGGCGTGGGGGAAGGGGGGGCCGTGGGGGAAGGGGGGGCCGTGGGGGAAGGGGGGGCCGTGGGGGAAGGGGGGGCCGTGGGGGAAGGGGGGGCCGTGGGCAGAGGAGCTTGGAGGCAGGGGGGAATAGGAGCATGAAGAGGGAGTGGGGCGGAGGGAAGATGTGTACAGTGCAGTTATCGTCGCAGGGAGTTGCCAAGACGGGAGGCACTTGTGCACCACTCGCTGCTGCCCCCACGTGCTCCCCTCGTCGCTCGCCCTCGCCTGTGCCCCCCTCGTCTAGCGCCACGCCTTCGTCCCTGCCGGGCTCGGCCGCCACGGCTCCAAGCGCGCCACTCAACAGTCCCGTGCGTGCCCCCCCTGGCCCCCGCCCGCTCCCCCAGTCCTGGCCGTGCTGCGCCCCCCCACCACCTGCTCCACTCGCCTCACACGCAGCGCCAGCACTGCTCAGTGCTGCGTGCGGGTGCCATGCTCCGTCACAGGCTGGCGCTGCTGCCGGGTGTGGTGGTGGCGGGTGGGGGGTGGCAGGGGAGGCAAGCGAGGGCAGAGCCATGCGGCAGAAGGTGAAGGCGCTCGTGTGGATGGTGAACAGCGGTGACGGGGGCGCTGCAACGCTGCTGCTGCTGCTGCTCGCAGAGGTGACACTCTCCACCGCCCAGCACCGCACCACACCGTCCCGGCCCTGCCTGCCTGGTCACAGAGGAAGGCGTGCAGTGAAGGCAGAGAGAGGGGAAGGGAGGAGAGGAGCTGTGAGGGCGAGTAGGTGTGGAGGAGAGGAGGAGGGGTGTGCTGTCGGGGTGAGAGGGAATGTAAGATGCTATGCGTTGGTTCAGGAGGAGCAATGAGGGGGGCATTCACACCCATCACATGGCAACGAGGGGGGCATGCACACCCATCACATGGCAACGAGGGGGGCATGCACACCCATCACATGGCAACGAGGGGGGCATGCACACCCATCACATGGCAACGAGGGGGGCATGCACACCCATCACATGGCAATGAGGGGGGCATGCACACCCATCACATGGCAACGAGGGGGGCATGCACACCCATCACATGGCAACGAGGGGGGCATGCACACCCATCACATGGCAATGAGGGGGGCATGCACACCCATCACATGGCAACGAGGGGGGCATGCACACCCATCACATGGCAACGAGGGGGGCATGCACACCCATCACATGGCAACGAGGGGGGCATGCACACCCATCACATGGCAACGATGGGGGCATGCACACCCATCACATGGCAACGAGGGGGGCATGCACACCCATCACATGGCAAGCTACGGGATGCCAAGGAATGGCATGGCATGGCAAGGCAAAGCAAGCCAAGGCGTGCATGGCAAAGCAGGGCGTGCATGGCAAGGCAGGGCGTGCATGGCAAGGCAGGGCGTGCATGGCAGGGAGGGGGGAAGGGGGCGTACGTGAGCAGGGAGTGAGCGAGCGAGGGAGCAGCCGAGGCAGGCGTCACGGCGTCCATGGCGATGATGCCCGCATGGCCCCCGTGTAGCCTGCCGTGAGGGCGCGTGGCGGGGGGAGGGAGAGGCGCGAGGGCGGGGGGACAAGGGGTGATCAAGGTTAGAGTGAAGACAGAATGGAGAGGGACGGGAATATGGAGAGGAGAGAGGAAGAACGGATGGGAGGAAGTGGTGGTTAGAGAGGGAGGCGTGTGGGGGCGAGTGCGGAAGAAGGTCCCATTCCCTCCTCCCCTCCCCTGCCGCAAGCACGTCCCCTCCCCCTCCTCCCCACACACTCCACGCCCCCCCTCCTCCCCCCCCCCCGCACCCCACACACAGCGCACCCTGGTGCCCTCGTCCCCCCCCCCACCTGTGGCGTGCCACGGGTCGGTGCGTGGCGAGGCTCCACGCCCTCACGTCGCCCTCCATGTCGCTGCCGCCCTCCCCGTTGCACCGCGCACGGTCGGGGGGAGTGCGGACGGCGGGGGTGAAGAGGGAGCGGAGATGAGTGGGAGGGGAGAGAAAGGGAGTGAGAGGGGAGTATGGGGGGAATGTGAGGGCGAGTAAGAGGTGAGGTGAGGGAGCAGGTCGAACGGGGTGACGACGAATGGAAGGGGAGTTGGACAGTGGGGGGCGAGTGGGGGGCGAGTGGGGGGCGAGTGGGGGGCGAGTGGTGGGGGAGTGGGGGGCGAGTGGGGGGCGAGTGGGGGGCGAGTGGGGGGCGAGTGGGGGGCGAGTGGGGGGCGAGTGGGGGGCGAGTGGGGGGCGAGTGGGGGGCGAGTGGGGGGCGAGTGGGGGGCGAGTGGGGGGCGAGGGGCGCACCCGGAGAGGAGGAGACCGGACGCAGCGTGGTGGCAGAGAGCCGTCACCTCCGCGCGATGCCCGCGCAGATGCGCCTCCGCCGCCCACCGCCGCTTCCACGATGGCTTGGCGGGCAACGCCATTGGCGGAGCGGATGGGCTCGGCGGCCGCGCGAAGCTGCGCGCGTGATGCCGCCCGGACGATGGCGGTTTGTCGCTATCGGTCCGGCCGATCGCGATGGCGTGGCCTCTCTGCAGTTATCGGCGACGTTAAACTTGGGCGAGGGGGAAGTGTGATGCGCGGGCCACGTACGCGCGACGAAGGAGACGCGCTTGAGGGTAAAAGCGGCTGTGCTGAAAGATCGAAGGGGCGACAGCAAACGGAGAGGCGGAAAGGACAACCGGCGTGCATCATGAGAGCCGAAATTCAGTCGCTGCTCGCCAGCCGTCACTACTCTCCCTTCTTGGCGGTGCGTGTCAAAGCCAAATTTATATGAAATGCTTACAACATAGATAGGGTAATTATTTGTTACAACTGTGATGGTGCACATTGCCTGCACCTTGCCCTTCTCCTATCCATTCTAATCTACTTCCTAGCCTTCTCTAGCTCCTAGACTCAATCTGAACAACCTCTCTGAATGGATTACGAATCCAATCTCAACAATCTGGAGACGATCAGAAAAGGAAATGGCTTCTACACTGGTCTGTCCCAAGATGTCTCGTTGGTTGACAGATTGCCATAATACACTTTGTTTGACTGGGGATCCAAAAACGCCTGATTTGAAACCCATGGGAAAGCAGAGGGGGGTGGAAAGGAGGGTGGGAGGGAGGAAGAGCAGCGCACACACAACACCCAACACCCAGCACCCAACACCACCAACTTTAATAGAGACACAACAGCCTGCTGCATCAAGAAACAGCATGCAGAAACGGTGGGTGTATGCAGCCATGACAGGTCGAAAGAGACAGCCAAGAAAGGACCAGGCAAAGAAGGTCAAAAGACAACATGCCAAAGCTATCGATTAGCATTCAGCAACGCATGCGCACAGCACCACAGTTCACCCACTTCCACCTGAGAGAAACAAGTTGTCCAGAAGCATCACTTGCGTCACACACACACAGACACGACAACCACGTAGAGCAGGCAAAATGTAAAAAGAGTACTTTTGAGACGTCTCAAAAGTACTCTTCTTGCACACGTAGAGCAAAAAAGGTAGCCTGCACAAAAAACAAAAAAAACTCACAAGAAGGTAGCTCTGAACGGACGTAATGACTGAGATGGGAAAACAGGATCGCACCTGCACCTGAGAACCTGCCCACCAGTTCCCACAGGTTTGACAACCATCACCGCATCCCACCTGCCATCACCGCATCCCACCTGCCAAGCAGCTGGCAGCCCAGCAGAAAGAGCCTTTAAATCCGTCCCCTTGCGCTTCTTCTTCGCTCCAGCACCCACTGCTACTGCTGCCGTCGCTGCTGCCACTGCTGCTGCTCCTGCTGCCACTGCAGCCGGTCCCCCTCCCTGCTGTCTTGACTGTTCATCATCCCCAGTTGCACTACCGGCTGTAGCAGCAGGTGTTGCAGCGGCTGTAGCAGCACCAGCACCGTTCAAAAGCGGCGAGTCTGCCTGGGCCTGATTCGCCCCTCTCGCCCGCTTCACTCGCTCTCTCCTGTTTCGGTACGAATGGAAGGATAGGAAGAGTCAAGTGCCACAGGTGGCCGAGGTGGGAAGAGAGGCACGTTGATTTGCGAGCGGACTCAACAGTCAGCCTGAGCCTCACTCGCCCCTCTTCCCCTCTCCGCTTGCTCTCCCTTGCTTTGGTGGGAAGGGGGTGGCAGGGATAGGCACCTTGCCTTGACAGGAAGGGAAGGGCAGGGATAGGCACCTTGCCTTGACAGGAAGGGAGGGGCAGGGATAGGCACCTTGCCTTGACAGGAAGGGAGGGGCAGGGATAGGCACCTTGCCTTGACAGGAAGGGAGGGGCAGGGATAGGCACGTGGTCGTGATGAGAAGCCGGCAGCAGAAGTATGAAGGAGAGAGACAGGAGCATCATTGGTTTCCTTTACTCCAAATCTCAGGCACAAGGCACTTCAGATTCTCTGTTTCTCCTTTTTTTTTACTTGTCTGTTTGTGGATCAGATGCAAGGGGACTGCGGAAGATTGAAAACATCTTCTCCAAATGCCATGCCCGAACACACACGACTTGATCCAATCCACACAGAGTGGTCGGGACAGTGAAAAGGGCAGAAACATTCAGACTATAAGCTCGTACTAGAAGATACAGCATCTATGAAAGTGATTTCTCTCACCAGTCCACTGTGAGTTGTTGACATCGCCATTCTCCTCTGCCTCTCTTGTTTGCAGCTGCTGTGCTGCTAAGTCGACTTGAAAATTGCGTGTACAAAGTCCGTCTATGAGTCGACTGGAAAAAAGTAATTTCTTCCTTACCAATCGACTGCGAGTGGTTGGAAGTTAGCGTTCTCCTCTGCCTCGCCTGTCTGCAGCTGCTGCTGCTTCCACTCCTGGGGGCCACAACGAGCCACAAAAAGAAACATATTTCTGAAACACCTCATTTTCCACAACCGATGGCCCACAATTCTGAAACATAAAGACATACAAAAGCGCAAGGACCTAACTTGAGGCACGTTCTTCTCCCAATTACACTACCTTGGAATGAAAACGCCTTCTGTCTTCCCCCCTACACCACCCTCACCTATATTCCTTGTGCCATTTCTTCCAATCACCTCCCCACTGAACAAGGACCGCTCCCTTTCCCAGCGGAACACCAACATGTTTGATGAACATGGATGAGGAGAACGCTCCCAATGAAGGCCAACACATAGGCCCCACAATGAAGGCCAACACATAGGCCCCACAATGAAGGCCAACACATAGGCCCCACAATGAAGGCCAACACATAGGCCCCACAATGAAGGCCAACACATAGGCCCCACAACTCACACACCCTTGTGACCTTGTCCCCTGCTCCCCCCCTATTCCCCCTCACCTCGATTTTCTTCTGCCGCTCCTTGCCAATCACCTCCCCGTCATACAACGCCCGCTCCCTCTCCTCCTCTTCCTGCTCGCGCCTCATCCTCTCCTCGTCTAGTTCTTCCTTGGCTGCTTTCCACTGCCACAGCCGAGGGAAGATGAGAGAGGGCAAGGGAGAAGTGTTACAGGTACCGATTGCTGACTCTACTCCCACCTCTTCATCCTCCTCTTGCCCTTCTTGGCGCATCCCTCTCCTTGTTTAGTTCCTCCTTCTCCCCTCTCACTGCCAGAACGGAGGGAGGGGAGAAAGAGCAGGAGGGGAGAGGAAGGGGCAAACGGGGGAAAGCTGAATGGAAGCGTTACAGGCAATCCCGCCCCATCCTCTCATTGACTTATTCTTCCTGTTTGCCACTGCCACAGTGGAGTGAAGGGGAGAGTGTGAGGGAGAGGGGATTGAAGGAGCGAGAGAGGGGGAAGCAACAGGAGAAGGAGAAAAAGGAGGGAAGGTATGTGAGGAGAGCGATGGCAAACATGAAGCGTATGAGCTGCGGACAACAGACCCCACTGGATGTCACCTTGTTCACCCGGGAGGATATCTTCTTGCTCAGGAGAAGGAGCAATGGAGGGAAGGTTTGTGAGAAGAGTAGCACGCACAAGAAATACATGAAGATCCAACCCCTGCCATGAAGATCCAACCCCTGCCATGAAGATCCAACCCCTGCCATGAAGATTCAGCCCCTGACTTGTTCACCACGGAACACACTTTCTTGCTCGCATGTGTCCCTCTTTTGAGTCGCGCAAATAATGGCCCTCTATTGACCTGCTTCAAATAATGGCCCTCTATTGACCTGCTTCAAATAATGGCCCTCTATTGACCTGCTTCAAATAATGGCCCTCTATTGACCTGCTTCAAATAATGGCCCTCTATTGACCTGCTTCAAATAATGGCCCTCTATTGACCTGCTTCAAATAATGGCCCTCTATGGACCTGCTTCAAATAATGGCCCTCTATTGACCTGCTTCAAATAATGGCCCTCCATTGACCTGCTTCAAATAATGGCCCTCTATTGACCTGCTTCAAATAATGGCCCTCTATTGACATGCTTCAAATAATGGCCCTCTATTGACCTGCTTCAAATAATGGCCCTCTATTGACCTGCTTCAAATAATGGCCCTCTATTGACCTGCTTCAAATAATGGCCCTCTATTGACCTGCTTCAAATAATGGCCCTCTATTGACCTGCTTCAAATAATGGCCCTCTATTGACCTGCTTCAAATAATGGCCCTCTATTGACCTGCTTCAAATAATGGCCCTCTATTGACCTGCTTCAAATAATGGCCCTCTATTGACCTGCTTCAAATAATGGCCCTCTATTGACCTGCTTCAAATAATGGCCCTCTATTGACCTGCTTCAAATAATGGCCCTCTATTGACCTGCTTCAAATAATGGCCCTCTATTGACCTGCTTCAACAATGGATCTCGTCTCACCTTGTTCACCAACGAAGACACTTTCTTGGTTGCATGTGCCCCTCCCACTGCCGCTTTCCTCTTGGGCTTTGTTGCTGCACGAAATACAGGAAAGGGGGAGGGGAATTCGAGTTGTTGTGAGGACCATCTGCTTGCATGCATGCGCTCTTCCCGACCTCGATTGGGTTCCTCTTGGAACGACAGGAGAGTAGCAAGGATTCCTAGAGGGTGCGAGGAGATGAGAAGGGGTCTGATTGGGCTAACAAGGTTGCAAGGAGATGAAGAGAGATGGAAAGAGGCACACAGCGAAACGAAGTGAGGAGTGGCGAGACGAGGGAAAAAAAAAGGCAGGGGTGGAAGGAAAGAAAAATGGAAGGAAGAACGATGGTGACAGAAGAAAGCAGATTACCGCATAGAAAACTTCATATTCAACCAAGCACACGCACCCTTTTCTGCCTGCTGTTTGGCCGCCGCAACAGCAGCACCTACAGCCTCCATTGTGGAAAGCACAGGAGCAACAGCAGGGGAAGGAGCAGGGGCAGCAGCAGGAGCAGCAGAAGCTGTGCGTTGGTCCCCGTCGTGTGCTCCAGTGCATGATGCCTCCCGTTCCTCTCTCGCTGCCCCACCATCCCCACCACCACCACCACCACCACCTGCTGCTGCTGCTGCTACTGCTGCTGGTCTGACCAATGCTGGTGCTGCAACCACAACACGAGGCCGACGGGTGGCAGTAACGGTTGTAGCAGCAGTGGCGGCTGTAGCAGCAGTGGGGGCAGCAGCGTACGTTACAGGGGCAGAGGAAACAGTGGTGGGAGTGGGGTAGGCGGGAGTGTAACCATACATGTCTGAGTATGCCTGGTAATAAGCTGCCTCTGCTGTGTACCCTGCTGGCGGCTCTGCTGCTGCTCCTGCTCCTGCTGCTGCATAGGCAGCATAATGGGAAGCCCAAGCAGCAGCACAAGGATCATAGCTTGAAGCTGCTGCCGCTGTTGCCGGATCGTACGCATATGGTGCTGCTGTGCCTGCATATGGTGCTGCTGTGCCTGCATATGGTGCTGCTGTGCCTGCATATGGTGCTGCTGTGCCTGCATATGGTGCTGCTGTGCCTGCATACGGCCACTCCCCTGCCGCTGCTGTTGCTGCTGCTGCTTCTGTTGCTGCAGAAGCATTGGCAGGGTCAGAGGCATACGCGGTGGCAGCAGCACTAAGAGCAGCAGCATGAACAGCGGCGGCGTCCGCAGCGTAAGCAGTTGCATCGCCAGGAGCACTGGCACTGGCGTCAGCAGCATGAGCTTCAGCAGGTGGAAATAAGGGTTCAGGCGTGTCAGGAGGAGGAGGGGGGGGTGGGGATTGCGGTGGTTGCGGGGGAGGGGACGGAGGGAGAGGAGGTGGTGGTGGTGATGCTGGAGGTAGAGACGAATGCCCTGCCCCTCCTCCATCCACTCCTCCTCCTGCCCCTTTTGCTACCCCCACTCCTCCTCCTGCCCCTTGTGCTACCCCCACTCCTCCCGCTCCCGCTACCCCATCCAACTCCATCTCCACGTCCATGTCCTCGTCGCCACCACCACCCAGCCCACCCAACCCATTAGCACCACTCTTTCTAGTCGCCTCAAGATCATTGTCATCACCAACACCACCCAACCCACCAGCACCGCTTTGCTTCACCGCCCGCTTTCCTGCTCTTCCCTCCACTTCCTCCTCCTCTCCCTCTGGAGAAATCTCCCCACTCTCTGATGCTGAGTACTGCTCCATACCCTTCCAGGTCGGACCAGAACTCCTCTCCACCCCACCCCGCTCCTCCTGATTCCCCATTTCTCTCACCTTATCTGCAACCTCCCCCCTCACCTGCTCATTCCTTTCCTTCTCCTCTTCCTGCCTTTGCATTTCCTCCCGTCCCCGCCTCACCTCTTCTCTCACCCGTCTCTCCTCCTCTTCCAATCGTTCCTTTTTCTCTTTTACCTCCCGCCGTTGTCTTTCCTCCTCTTCCTCCCGCCGTTGCTTTTCCTCCGCTTCCCGCCGTTGCTTCTCTTCTTCCTCTTCCCGCCGTTGCTTCTCCTCCTCCCACTGCTCCCTCACTCTCTCCACTCTCCCCTGCACCTCCTCACTCTCTCCCTCCACTCGCCCCACCTGCTCCAAGCAGTACTGCACAACCACCAGCAGCCCCGCCTGCAACCCCTGCTGTATCTGCACCTGTACAAGCCGTTGCTGCAGGTCCTGCCACGGGTGCAGCACGGGAGGTTCTGGCAACCCAGCAGAGGATAATGGCGCTACAGCTGCAGGGGCAGTAGGGGCAGCAGTTGCAGTGGTAGGGGGCGCTACAGCTGTCGCTACAGCTGCTGCTGCAGACGCCTGTGCAAAACGGTGGGAGAGGGAAGAGAGGTCTGACAGGCGGATGGAGGCCTCTAGCTGCAGGCGAGTGAGAGAGGCGGAGAGGGCGGTGAGGGAGGCGGAAAGTGATGGGGACAGTGGGAAGGAAGGGAGAGAGGGTAAAGCGTTGAAAGTGGGGGAAGGAGCAAGAAGCCTGGATTCGACAGCTACCAGCTGCTGCTGCACGGACTCCAGCCTGGATGCAGCGTCACCCATCTTATCCACCACGTCAGCAGCTGTTGCTGCCAGCTCAGCCTCTGCTGAGTCGACCTGCTCCTGCAAGGACTGGAGCACTGCTGCCATGGCAACGGCGCTCGCCACGTCAGCAGCACCTCTTGCCAGGTGGCGCTCAGCTACTTGTCCCTCTGACTGCTTCCTTGGGCCCTCAAGAACAGAGACAGGGACAGCAGCAGCGGCAGGGACAGCTGCCTCCACGCCCTCACGTGCACGCAAGCCGTCACTGCCCTCCTCGTCCATCCCCACATGCTCTTCCACACACTCCTGCCTCCCCACTTCCTCTCGCATAGCCATGTCCTCTTGCTCCACCCGCTCCCCTTCTCTCTCCCTCCTCTCAGCCCCGTCTCCTTCCCCTGCACGTCCCATCGCCTCATCTGCTTCCTCCTGTCTCTGTTCACCACCCTCCTGTCTCTGTTCACCACCCTCCTGTCTCTGTTCACCACCCTCCTGTCTCTGTTCACCACCCTCCCCACTCTCCTGCCCTCTCTCCTCCCCTTTCTCCTCCTCTCTCACCTCCCCTTTCTCCTCCCCTCTCTCCCTCCTCTCGCCCTCACACCGCCCCACCTCCTCATCTCCCTCAATCATTCCCCCCTTCTCTCCCACTCCCTCTCCGCCCTCTGACGTGCCCACCGCAACCCCAGCACCCTCGTTTTGCACAACCTCGTCCGGAACTGACCAGGAGGTTTCCCCAGTGACGGTGTTCCAGTAGTAGTACTCGCCACTGTCGGGCTCCAACACGGCCTGCCACACAGCAGCAGCAGCAGCAGCAGCAGCAGCAGCAGCAGCAGCGGCAGCATGGGAAGGCACAGCATGCGCTCCTTGCTTGCCCGCCTCCCCGGTGCTTTCCTCTCCTTGCTTGCCCGCCTCCCCGGTGCTTTCCTCTCCCTCTCCCTTCTGCGCCTCCCCGCTCTTCTCCTTCCCCTCCTTCTCACGGCTTTCCCAAGCATCACTCTGCCGGTCAGCTTTGCTCTCTGCCTCTGCTGCCCCGTCACTCCCTCCTCGCCCTTCCTCTCCCTCCTCTTCCAACCTCCCTTCACCATCTATCGTCTTCTCCTCTTTTATATCTCCCTCCTCCTTGCCCCCCACACCCTCCTTCCCGCTCCCAGCCTCCCCTTTCGGCACATCCCCCTCTGCACTCTCCTCCTCTCCCACGCTACCTCTCTCACGCTCCGTCTCTTCAGGTGCGTTCCCCCCGTGCTCGTCCAGCAGGCCGCTCTCTTTGAGGTCGGACATGAACGCGAGCATCTGAGAGGCCAACCGGGGATACACAAGACAAGGAGAAGCGGGCAAGGGGGGAAGAGAACAGACAGACTCATTGCTCTCCTGCGTTCCTTCCTTGTTCGTCCAATAAGCCGCTCTCTTATTGCTCAGACATAAGAGGGGATGCGGAAGGGGAGAGACGGGGAGAAGAGCACAGAGTTGTGCGTTGCGTTGAGAAGAGGTCTCTCCTTCCCCTCCACCTGGAGGAGAGGTCTCTCCTTCCCCTCCCACATTAACGGCATCTGAGGCGGACACACCACCTGGAGACAAGCACGCCACCTGGAGACAAGCACGCCACCTGGAGACAAGCACGCCACCTGGAGACAAGCACGCCACCTGGAGACAAGCACGCCACCTGGAGACAAGCACGCCACCTGGAGACAAGCACGCCACCTGGAGACATGGCTGCTTTTGAGGTGACGTTGCAACACTTAACCAACTTACCCTCCCAAATGTCTCAACCAACCTACCCTCCCAAATGTTTTGACCTGACCACGTCACCCCAAAAGGGTTGAATGCCACCATACCCCATCGTCATGTCTCTTCAGCTGACAGAAACCCGCAACGCATCGTACACACCTCCGCACGCCTCCACACCTCCGCACGCCTCCACACCTCCGCACACCTACACACCTCCGCACGCCTACAGACCTCCGCACACCTACACACCTGCAAGCTTACCTCATCATCCATCTCCATCGCATCCCCCTCCTCCGTTTTGATGCCATCCATCTCCCCGGCTATTTCCCCCTCCCCCTCCTCCTCCTCTTCCTCCTCCTCCTCCTCGTCGCTGTATGCTCCTAGAAGCGAAAGAGGGTTTGGTGCCTTGCTGCCTGGGAGAGACAGAGAGAGGTGGAGTCGAGTACAACAAAAGACAAGGGATACGGAGAACAACGGGAAGCAGCGGGAAAGAGGCAGAAAGGCGAGAAAGTGCAGAATGAGATTCGAATTCAAACCAGTTGAGAGATTGTACATCGAGCTGGCTTCGACCTCCCCCAACGAAAATTCAGGAAAGGAAGTGTCACGTGGACACACACACCACCAATGGTTAGATACGCGCATACCCTCTATCAAGTAAAAGGGTTGACCAGAATAGACACTCATCGCATTCAGAATATGATCTGTGGCATCTGGTGTAGACAACATATGAGCATCAATGAGCGACCATCAGCAGCAAGCAAGCATACAGTTCAAGCCAAAGAAGGAGGAGCGGTAAAAGAGGACACAAACCTGCACCTACCGCGGGGGTATCCAATCCGCTGAGATGCTGAGATGCTGAGACTGAGACACGTCACACGAGACGAGCGCCATGCGCTGGTGCTTCTTCCAGTGCCGCACAGAGACTGTAATGAACCTGCAACATTCAACTGCACCGCATTGCACCGTGCCAAGCCAAGCCAACCAACCCTCCTCCTCGCCTCCGTTTCGCTTGGCCCTTCCCTTCCCAGTGTCACTAGATGTAAGTCATTGACTGTGCTTGCTGCCTGTGCTTGTGGTGAAGGCAAACCGGACCCCTTCCTTCCACCGATGCAGGAAGCGGTGGGTACGCCAGGGCCCAGGGGTTCACAAGGCAGAGTGGCTGGCAGACATGAGTGGTGAAGAGAGAGCCATGACACCGGAGGAAGCCTGGTAGTAGCAGCACGAGCCACCCTGGTTATCAGCTGGATGATGCTCATGATGACGTGGCAATGTGTGTGAGAATATTCCGTTCCATCTCTGTCATTACTCCTCCTCGGCTGTGGAGCATGCAGCACACGTTATCCATTGATGATCTCACGGAAACATCCGCCTCATAGATTCCCCTCATCTCATGCATGTGTGGCCTCGTCATCGCGAGTTTATCCAGACTTAAAAATCATCCGGCTGAAAGTCTTTGCTGATACGAGGCCATTCGATTGTCGCACATGCTGCCCTGGCGCCAATACATGCGGCCGTGACGGTCGCACACATGCCTTCCACGATTCCACAAGGCTCGCATATGGTATCAAAAGAGTAGGAGTGGAAGGAAGGGAAGCTTCCACGCACCTTCTACAGAAGGCAAGGGTGCGTCAGCGGTAGCAGCAGCAGCTGCTGCTGTTGCCGGAAATCCTGAGGCTGCCTGATCCCCATCCCCCTTCTGAGAAGCTTCGCCTGAAAAGTGCTCTTCCCCAGCTGATAGATTTGCTTCCGTCTGTGCATCTGAGGGATTTACGGGCGTAACATGAAAAAAAAACTTATAGTTCGCTTTTTCGTCTGGCGGTGGAATGGCAAGACATCCGAGAGAAATTTTAAGGGGTTCAAAACGGGTGGAGTAATGGAAGGCGCATAACCGCGATGAACAGCGTATCGTAAACAGCGATGGGACGCGAAAGACGTTCGCTGAGCTTTTTAGTCAAATGGAAAAAACAAACTCCTGAGAATAAAACGAACTCGGAAAATAAACGAAGACCATAAATATGAAGGATAAACCTAATCGAACGTCTGAAGTAAGTCAAGGTAGAAAGAACGACACACGATATCTGCTTCCATCACGCCAATCATTCAACAGAAACAAAACGCCTGAACGAACCTTCGGCCGGCTCGGATCCCCATAGATCGAGCTTCACTCGCCGCCCACCGCCTCCTAAAGCGCCTTTCGCTTTCCTCTCCCGCCTACGACCCATAGTAGCTACTAACTAGTAAGTGGTTCACGGTACGACTGATCGTTTGGAGTGCGCGCTCGAGCTTGATGCATTACAATAGCGAAAAGTGAGGCGAACAGTGGGTGGGCGAAGGAGGGACGGACGGACGGGTGGAGTGCATGCGGGGCAGGGCCGTGTCACGGAAGCTAAAGAGAGGATGGTGTGACTGCTACAGGGTTGGTCGAGTTAATGTCGTGGGATGTGGTTCATATTGACTCGGCGGACGTGTTGGCAGCTAAGGTTTGGGAGCGCCGGCGAGGGACGGCAGCGAGGCGGCGCTGGTGACGCGATAGCGGATGAAGGTGTGGCTAAAAGGCGAGGCTTGCGCGCTCGGTGCACCTCACAACGGGCAGTGCAGGGGTAATCACAGCGGATGATCGAGCTGTGGCAACGAGACGCGCAGTAATAGGCAAAAAAGGATGACGATTTGCGGACATAAATACTGAATGGCGGATGAGATTAAGGGGACGGACGCAGCTTGACAATTGTACACAAGATACCCGGTTGCGCCCCCCGACCTTGCCTTACCCTCTGGGCTCATAAGCGATTCTAGCGCTTCGCGGAGGTTTCGTCCTTTCGCTTCGGGCAAAAAGGGATTATAAAAAAAATTGTAACTCACCGTTGACTTTTTGACTGCAGTCTCTTCACTCAGACTTCAGTTTCTATGGTTCATATTGGTCAACGTGCTTGTAACGTTGGTGCAACCTCACGGCACAAAACCCACGGGTGCAAGGTTTTCATCCGGTACAAGGTAATTTCGTGTGCAGGAGGTGAGCATCTGTGTACTAGGTACACACGATGCCCGGTTGAGCCCCCTGACCTTGCCTTACCCTCTGGGCTTATAAACGATTCCTGCATTTCGCGAAGGTTTCGTCAATTCGTTTCGGCCAAAACGAGCGCGTAGACCGCCACGAAACAGAGCCGGAGCCAAGGCTGAAGGTGTAACCCTGTGACGACCGCTGCGTAGCCTAGTCGTCAGCCCAAGAAGCGTCTGCGTGACCTGTGAGGACCACTCGACGTCGCCCTCCAAGCACTAGCCCCATGCCCGACGTACTGCACAAGTAGCGCAACACCCTCTTCGCTGCAGCCATGTGCTCTGGTCGGTGTCTCCCACGAGCAACATAGCGTGCCAGGATGCTAAGAGGGTATGCAAGGTCAGGTCGAGTGCAGGTCATCAGGTACATGAGGCAGCGAACAAGCTCTGGGTACGGGCCACTCGGCTCTACCGACTCATCCGAAGGCAGAGCTGAGAGCGAGTGACGAGTAGACAGAGGAGTGGCTTGAGACGAGGAGTACGTGAAGTCGAAGCGCTGAAGGACCTGCTGCACCATGTGTGACTGAGTCAGGGTAATGGTGCGCTGTGCTCTGCCCCGAGTGATTTGCAAGCCAAGGTAGCTGCGCAGTTCACCCAGGTCTGTGCACGTGTGTCTCTTCTGCAGCTCGGACTTCACGTGGGCGAGTCCAGCAGTGTCAGCTGTGGCAAAGACCAAGTCGTCGACGTACACGAGGATGTAGAACGGCGGCAAAGAGGTGTCGGTGCGTAGAAACAGCGACGGGTCGGCCGTAGAAGGAGCAAACCCAAGAGCCGCAAGCGTAGTCCTCAGTGTGTCGTGCCACTCATGTGGCGCCTGGCGGAGACCGTAGACTGGCCGCCGGAGGCTCCACTGGGTACCAGGAGGAAACGACCCAGAGAAGCCAGGTGGGCGGCGCAGCCAGATCTCCTCGTGCAGGCTGCCCTGTAGGAAAGCAGTGCTGAAGTCAAGAGAGTGAAGCTCGTAGTCGCGCTGAGCGGCTATGTGCAGCAGCACCCGAAGTATGGTCATCTTCGGGGTGGGAGAGAAGGTCTGAAAGTAGTCAACTCCCTGCCGCTGATTGAAGCCACGAGCCACGTAACGTGCCTTGAAGACAGGCGGAGAACCCGGCGGCCGCTTCACCCTGAAAATCCATATGCCACTGACGATGTTCGCCCCAGGTGGGGGAACCACGTCGACGTAGGTGCATGTGGACTTCCAGGAAGCCATCTCTGCGTCCATGGCTGACTGCCACTGAGAGGAGTAGGGACCCTCTATCGCCTCTGCGTAAGAGCGCGGAGTCGGGATGTCTGGTGCATCCGGGTCTCCCTCAGGGGCAATCAGCATGGACACGAGATGAGCTAAAGCAGCAGCAAAGCACTGGAACTCCTCTTGCCTGTCCTCAAGGACGTCCGTGCTAAGATCACACTCACCCCCGACGGACGGAGGAAAGACAGACGCAGACTCAGCAACAAGACTAGCAGCGTAGTCTAGATGACAGTGAGCAGCGAAGTCCTCAAGCTCAGCAACTAAGGCAGACGCAGCAGTGGACTCAAAGGAAGGGTCGGTGACAACAGTAGCAAGGAGACGCGTGACAGTAGGACTGGCAGCATGAAGGGAGTCAGACTCCGGGTCAGCAAGCGCAGGAAGAGAGGACTCTGGAGGAGACGGCAAAGGGACACGCAGTGGAGCAGTGGAAGGACGCAGTGCCATCTGGTGCGTGCCTGGGACCGCAGGAGGATGCTGACGACGACTAGTGCGAGCAACACGAACAGGCAACGCAAGACGAGACGCAGGCTCACGACGCTCAGCAAGACCTCCAGTAGGACTAGTGTAGGGAGAAGGAGCAGGCAGTGGGGAGGCGGGCTGTAACTGTGACTCGGAGTGGACAGGCGGTGGACACTCTAAGGGAGGAGCAGGACCAGTAGAGGGCGGAAGACGAAGAACCTGCTCTAGGAGCGGAACGAAGTACGGCCGTGGCCGCGCAGCACCTCCAGAACCAGCAGGGACAGCACCAGCACCCCCAGCGTCAGCTCCAACAGCTCCAGCAGCTCCACCAGCTGCTCTAGTAGCGCCAACTCCAGTACCCACAGGAGCACCAGCTCCAGCAGCACCTCCAGCTCCAGCACCACCAGCAGCACCTCCAGCATTACCCCCAGCCCCAGCACTGCTAGTAGCACCAGCGCCAATAGCACCACCAGGCCCGGCTGTCAATATCCCAACCAAAAGACCATTGGGATAAAAGGGCTTGTTAAGTAGCGGGTCAGTGTGCCTATAACCCCCCAGGCCAACATGCATGTAACCCTTCCCTAGGATCAATCGGGGATCACCAGTGGACCTCTGACACCCCCCCGCACTGGGATGTCCGAAGTGCATACACCGTGATTCGAACCCGAGACCTTCGCTCTGATACCATGTCAGAATCCAAACCACTAGACCATTGGGATAAAAGGGCTTGTTAAGTAGCGGGTCAGTGCGCCCATAACCCCCAAGGCCAACATGCATGTAACCCTTCCCTAGGATCAATCGGGGATCACCAGTGGACCTCTAACACCGGCAGCTCCAGTACCTCCAGTACGAGCACCTCCGGGACCCGTGGCTCCAGAACCCCCAGCAGCCCCAGCAACGGAAGGACCTCCAGCCGCAGCAGAACCTCCAGCGCCGAAAGCACCACGAGCTCCAGCAGCACGGCGCCAGCGCCTAGCAAACCACTCGCGCAGCTCCTGCGGAGAGAGTGGCTCCCGCCGGGACGAAGTACTGGAAGGACCTCCAGGCTCAGCACCACCAGACTCCACACGAGTAGGCCCAGCACCCTCAGGCTCCGCACCCCCAGACTCAGCAACCCTAGGCTCAGCACCCCCAGACTAAGCACCCCCATACTCAGCACCCCCAGGCTCAGCACGCGCAGGCTCAGCACCCCCAGACCCGGCACCATCACGCTTAGCTCCCCTAGCAGCACCAGATTCACCAGCTACCTCAACAGGCTCGACCGCGTCTACCTGAGACACACTTGAGGGGGCAAGAACCTGAGGGGGGAGGGGGTCTACCGGGGAGGGACCTGGCGCGAGGAAGAGCGGCGAGGGGGGTAGTGCGGTAGGGGAAGAGACGGTAGTAGGGAACCGACTCGTCAAACGTGACGTACTGAGAGGACAGAACACGGCGCGAGGTGGGGTGGTAAAACTGCCAACCAGGCGCGTTAGGGGGGAAGCCAAGGAAGACGCAGGG